AGGGTTGTTTTCTGGCTTTAGAATACGGTCTCTTTGAACCTTTTTTTACTTTATGTTTGTAAAGTTCTTAGGAGTTGTTTTATGGGCATTAAATAAAAGTACATTTCGATCTTGGATATGGTCTTCTTGATACCGTTGTCCTCAATCTTCTTTCACTGCCTTGGAATATTGATTGTCGTATCCGTAGGTACATAGATATATATAACTGTACTTGCTCAGCTGTATCTTATGGAAATAATTATTTCGATTGAATACGATTCTTTCTCGATGTTTTCTCTATAACTGTTCTGAAATTGCCTTTCGTTTTAGCGTTGCTCCCTTCTTGTTATTGATTTTCCTTTTGCTTTGATGTATCTTCTGTTCGTATTGTTGTATTTTCGTTTGATTTAGCGACAAACTTGCTTGATCATATCTGGAACATGTATGGCTTATTTTCGGATTCATTAAATTTTCGTTATACAATCTCTAGTCTTGTTCTCTTTGTGTTTCAAAATAATTAAAAGTGTGTGATAGTTGATAGGGTTACAATCGGTCTATTGTTAAGAACATTATATAACGATAATCGCGTTTTAAATGTATCTCATCTTATATAATATTGGGGGGTAACTCGACACTATATTTGCACAAATATATTACGTTATATTATACACGATGGCTTCAAAAGGTCGGCAATTTAAATATCAAATAAAACATGTCATACAATTTTAAAGCTTTAACAGTACCCTGTTGGCCCTTGTATCACGCCTGTAATTATCTTCTGATCTAGATGTGTTTGTCTTTTCTCTCTCAAGTGTTTGTCTTGAGTTTCCTGTGCAGGTGATTAGTGGCTTAAATCTGGTGTACGTGTTTGTTCTTTCCAGGTATTACTTTGTAATACATTCGTTAAACCAGTGTGTCCTCCTGTCCCGTTTAGCTGATCCAGCGCGTTCTTCTCTGGTGACCTTCGACGATGTCGGTAAACGGCATCGCACGCAGTTAACCTAAGTCAACGGTCATATATATCGACGCTTCGGAGTTCAAGTAAAATATGGAACATACACATGCATACACATGTACGACTGTAAGCGTATATCACTGTCCGTATTTTTAACATATTGATAAAACATTGAAAACAAAACTCGTGCTGGATGTACCTGAATCTATAGACACGCTTGTACAAAGATCCAGTCATATTTTAAATATTTTACTAAATGTAATATTGAAGGTAGTAATTATGCAGGTGTCAAGTTTATGTCTAGTGTTACATTTCCCGTCGGAGGTTTATATTTAGACATGTAACCAGGTACATACATATGTCTATATTGATAGTGATCACGGCGTGTTCAAATGCTAACACATGTTATTAATTAACTGTGGATGACAATTATATATTAATAAAAAATGAAATAATAATAATAATATACAACATTTGATATACCGAAATCAACCGTGCATTTATGGTGAATATGTATGATACCATGCTATCCAACACGGCTGGCATTAGTTCATTAATATTATAAAATTATGGAAATTTAAGGGGGGGGGGTACGTTTCTTTTGCGTGTGCGTGTATATATGACTCTACTTGCTTAGATGTATCTAATACACATGTACATTTCGATTGTATTGTGTTTGTTTACAGTCTTTATTATATATATAATTGATACACACACGTTTAAATAATAAATTCGTTTTTGGCAGTATCCACGTTTTGTTTAAAACACAAGTGATTTCAATGTGTCATGCTTTGCTTATTATTTGAATTATATGTGTTAAACATACTTTGGATTTGTGTTATATTTTACCATGGCATTTTTAGATATGCCTAATAGTTTTGATATCAAAATAATAAAATATAAAATCAAGAAACTAAAAGAATATTTTAAGGTTTGAAATTTTGGCCATATTTCGCCTTTGCCCAAGGTTTTAGAGCACTAAACATATTGAATGGTAATATAATGCTCCTGCCGGTTTTGTTTTTAATCTTGATACTGAAGTAAGCGGCCTCGCATAGCTCTCTCACAATAGTATTGGTAATTGATTAATGTACTCAATTTCAGTATTAATGTAACATTTAAATAATTATTTGACTTTAAAATTGAAAAAAATAAAAATAAATCTACTATTCATATATATTTGAACTGTGAAACTATTTTGTGTGAGTTTTCACATACATGTATCACGTGCAATTTTTAAAGTACGATGATATACTTCTGTATTGTACCTTTAAACTTTCGTCCAGTCAAATTGCCATTCTTCCCTAATAGAATCTTTTTTTTTTGCGTAGTGTTAACTTGGCATTTCACATTTGTTATTACAAAGTATAGTGTTGCGTACTTTGTTTCATTATCGTGAAAAATTCGCTCTCATTGCACATAATAATAATATACAACATTTGATATAGCGCCCTATCTTGCTAGCATAAGCCACTCTAAAGCGCTTTACAGTACAAAGATATACAACTTTTACAAATAGCATATACATTATCAATACAATTTTGAGGAATTCACAGGAGCTGCCTATCTATTGCATTATTCTAATATATAGGATGAGTATTAGCTGATAACGATTCATAGATGAAGTTACAATGACAGCTTTCCACCGGAAATAGGTAAATGTAGCACTTTACACAACAACGATGATGATAAGAGATTCAATTGGGGCATACAGGATAATTGAAGTACACTGACTACCATTTTATACATTATCAGATAAAGATGTCTCCACAAATTGATCGTGACTACAAAGTATCTGCGTTAACATATATTTAATGTGAGCACAGGATGCATATATACAATGCCATATGTTTAATGTAAAAACTCTCTGACAACTGTACTTCACACTACTAAATGTATTATTCATTGATAAACAGCTAACATTTCAGCGATTTTACTGGTATCACACACAGATGCTCACACGGCCACAAGCGTCGATATTTTGAATCTATACATGTCTTCGAGATCTATAACCATTTCTATTCAACTGTTTAGTATACAAGCGAATTCACTTTCTCGCTTGTAACACTGAAGCTTCATCCTTAAACCCATGAGTTCCACAACCGATACATATATCTATCCTGCACCCTTGAATATTTTCATGATACAATAGAAGGCTCTGTTTTACGACACCTTACAGATAATACAAGTAGATTAGACTGATATCTTTGATGAAGATCAAAGGAATTGCGCAGCAGGGTAACGGAAAAATCGACAGGCTTTTAAGTTTGATGAACCTCTTGAAACGTTTTTATACATACAACCAATCAAATAACTTCCCGCGAACCTTCGATTTTGTCATGAGAAATCCCAAAGATGCCGTGGAGTTATATGTTGAAAACGTAACCCTTTGATTTTGGGAAAGTCGCAGCCTTTGCTTACTTAAACCTGGTTGTTGATAACTCAGATGGTCGTCGAGTAACCAAAAAACGATAAACTATCATTAATTCGAGAAAACCACTCTATCGACACATAGAAATTACATTTTATTAAACTAGATTTTCTAGGTTGACGGCCTATCACTGTGTATAGATTTGTCATTCACATAACGTGTAATAAACAGTTTGTTATTCAGCTTCACACTTTTATAAAGTCACCAATAAATTGAATATTAAGACCACATAATTATTACCGATATATGCAATCGTATCCGTGGTGTTAGAATTTAGTTTTCTTTTTTTTATCACGGATATGTTTGTGTCAAATTTCTAAAATTTCAGTTGCATCACGTGGACTGTTCCGTTGTTACACCCGATCCAAACGTTCCCAAACGTGTCCACACTCACCGTTGTAGGGTTTGTCACTCCGAATCACTTATCCAAGAGACCTACTGCATTTGTACCATCTTTTGGTAGGACATACACCTGATCGTCCATGAAGTCCGGTACGAAGAGCCTGTCGTTGTGGTCACATGACATCGCGAAGAGGGTCATTTTACCAACCTTTTGGCCGTCGTTGAGTTCACCATTCCATTTTCCTTTGGCTATACCTGAACTGTCTGTTATGATATATACTGTTTCTGAGTCCGATACTGCCACGAGTCCCGATGACAAACATGTAGTATGCTGCACATCTATTCTACACCTCACCTTCCTCAAAATCATTCCTGATTGATTCAGTATCACCATGTCTGAAGTGTTAGACCACCCTCGTTGACGCTGATTTCTTACGCGTTGTTGGTTTTGATGTCTGCACATTTTTTCACTTCTTCGTTTCGTGGTGTAAGTTTATAAACACATACACTGCGATTCCGACTGGTCATAAGTATGTCTTTTGACCCTATGATGGCGATTCTGTACGGACAGAAGTCCAGTCTTATTGTCTTCTTAACCTTACCCTTCTTGTTTATCTTTAAGGAAAGTTTAGTTGAAAAAAGCGGGAACATACTCATTAATTGTAACTGACGAGCTGTTTACAATAGGAATCATTTGGGTTTTAGGGTCATTATCCCGTTTTCAGCAAATGATCTTAAAATGTGTTAATATAATTGGTTGGGTATCATAAAACATGTTATCAGCCCAATCTAGATGGTCAATTTAATCGAAAGTAATAACATCTTTGTTTGTCCTTATAGAATGGGTCAACCATACCCTTTGGCGTATTCATCTTTAATATACAGAATAGTAAAGACTCCTTTTATTATTTTATAAACGTATCAGTACTTAATATTGTTTTAGTTTTACTTAAATAAAGGTTATAAGCAGTTCGTATTAGCACACTGTGAAAAACAGGACTTTGCATTGCACGGTTTGAAAACTGTCTGCTTCATTATAGTTATATTCGCCAGGCATATTATGAAATTCTTTATTAAATGGCTATTTTTTTATTTTATTTCTACAAATACTGATGCAATAAAAATAAATTCGTCACGAATATTTTATCACTGACCAAATACAACTTATCCTTAAACATGTCTGTAACAGTTTTTTGGTCGTGCTATATGATTTCCATGCTCATATTATTTGATGAAAGAAAAGATCGCGTCCCGGTATCAATGATATCAATAAAGAGAAACTAATACTTGTTGTATATGAAATATTTATTCATAAGCACCTTCTGTTAGAATTCATGTAGCAGAGACTTTGAAATAAGCAAGATTAGAAATAAGCTTGTTGAATCGTATTAAAGATTCCTACACATGCATGAAATTATAACAAAAAAATGAAAACGCAATGAAAGAGGCATGAAGCAGGCCATGTTGAACAATGAACTGTTGACATGGATTTTGAAGAAAGTAATTCAACTCCAGTCATATGATCTAGATAAAAAAAAAAGATATTAACGTAAAAATATGTTACATAATCCTTCGAATAGGGGAAATCTCAAGAGGTTATCTTTTTTCAACTGCTTTTTATGTTTCTTTCTTCGCACAAAGGGATATACCATGTAACATGATTTTTTTATGTCCAATTAATGTCTACAGTCATTTAATGAGTACTTTCTCGTTCGATATGTCTTACACCCTTACGTTAAATCATTCGCCAAATTTACCCATAAAGGTGTACTCAACAGTGCACTGAATCAAATTGACGACCTGCATTTCAAATATTTCACTTTGTCGTTTAATGGTTCTGTTTTTGGTTTTATTTAGGCTGTTGGTTTCATAGGTTTCAGTTGTATATGTTTATAAGAGCAGCTATGCTTGTAACAGTGTATGGATTGTTCTATGTAATATATCTCTTTATTTCTCTCGTCGGTGTCCTCTTGCGTTTTTCAAACACGCACACGTACAAAAAGTTGGGTTATAAGTTAGTTCGAGTGGATACAGATACTTACATAATTAAAGTAACAAATTCGTTCTGACTAAATAAACTATATAACTCTACACTTGATTTGACGAATACTTTAATAAAATTGAATTTGATTTTATATAACATAAAACATCTACGAGCTTATCATTTCAAGTGTGGTTTACATTTCACATTTAATTTATCATATAAAAGAACAAATACGACAAGATGATAAACTTACAGATTTATTGATAAATGTGGGTTTGACGGTCAGAAATAGGAGTGGTTTTGTGTGACGGCTGCGTCATTGGCATCACCATGTAAATAAATGTTTCTATGCCCGCTCTGATGTAAATATGTATGATTCTCTGAGGGGGGAAATAAAACAAAGGTATTTCTACAAAAGCATAAAAACGGTTAATACAGATGTTAAAAGGGAATCACAAAATATTCAGCCTATTTATCAGTGCTAAACCGGAAGGAGACGTCTTTCTCAGCACATATATATTGATCCCTCTTTGTGGCTCAAATCTGTAACAATCGCGATCGGAGCGCTTTTTCATTAAACCGATATTTTACTTACACTCACAGTTCTGTGCTCATGCTCAATGTCTGGTTCCGGTGATAAATAATTAAATTCACATTTGTTGAACATTTGCAAGAATTTTGGAGAGACTGGGTGTCGAATACCATTTTATGTGTTTAAAATTGACCTGTTGTCACATTCGTTATGCAGGTTACAAGAAAGAGTTGGTTTCAACAAATAATCCATTATATGTATTCATGACTTATTTATAAATTGTTCTGGAAATTCATCTTGAAGATAATCGAAAAGCATGAAGTTCTAACCACGCTAGTAGTAGCTTGCTGCACTCTTAAGCATGTGACTTCATTATTATGTATTGAAACCGACCAAGCTCTACAAATAAGTATCAACATCTTTGGCCATAACTCATGAGGCTGAGACATTGTCATTTTCCTACGGCCATAGAGACCGTATTAATCCCAAGGACCTTGAGGGGCACTAGATATCATATAGCCTAGATGAAAGGATTGTCCATATTAATAAAACTTGATGATTGAACATTAAAGAAGATATAGAACTACTTTCAAATGTAAGTCTGAAATTATATATATACCACATTTATATTAGAAATCTTATTGATGACAGCGATTATTGCCGTTTTCGAACAACTTGATGATCTTTAGACAATGTTAATGTTCACTAAAGCAGTTGCAAGAGTAATGCATTTTTCACTATTTGGATTTTGTAGTTTTTCCTCCACCGCCGCGGCGAAACAGGGCTTTTTCCAAGGCCATCATTGGTGCTTCAAAAGCAAGAGAGAGTACGAACGCAACAAGGTAAGACATCACCAGGTAGCCGAGAAACAGGTAAATCTGCAAGAAAAAGAAATATACGCATGTTATCATGGTAGAAATAGCTATGACCGGTACTGATATGTTACGTGTTTACAAATAGGAAGTGTGGCACACTGGTACATTGTTACACTTTTTTAGATGATTTGGTATTGCTTTTTTCTCGGCTCTATCAAAGTTACAAATGTATGTTTTTAAGTTAAAATTCAACGTTTATATTTTAATATTTTTATGTTTAATACAAAACGGGTTTTAATTTGATTGTAAAAGAAAACACACGACAAATACCAGAAGTAAGAGAGAAATTGACAATTGTGGGAATATGTTTGAGGAAATAACGTGTTTACATAATAGCGTTAAAACGCATTTTTATAAGTTTTTATTTAACATGTGCTTTTTGATAGACCAGATTTTTTCAGAAATTAAGTACAACGCAATGTTTTGATTCATACGCTGGAGAATAGAACGCAGGCAATACTCGTATCTGACAGAAACGACGTGATAATTAAAGAAATACGAAAAGACAAGGATTTAAGGAAAGTACACGCGTATGCATGTTTCTATTATATGGCTATTCATGCAACCAAAAATCCAAAATGCCGTGTTACGGAAACGTTTTGACGTCATTTGTTTCATTGTATCTGCCTTGACAAACTTTTATATGCATGAGGTATAAATGATACACGATACAGTTATGTTGGATATCCTCATCTATATCCTTGAATTTTCATGATATTGAGTTGCAATTTATGCCGATTTCAACTCCTGTATACCTTAAATCATTTTGTGTCAGCAACAACAGCTTTCTTGCCATACATTGACGTTCGATAATGTTCGAAACATGAAGGAAAGAAAGTGCAATAACCAGGTCAGGGTTAAACATTAGGCCACAAAAACTCTAAACGTACGATCTAGTCATCTAACAACTGACCTATGGTTGCTGTTTTCCCAATCATTGTTCTTCTATACAATACAACTTTTATTTTCATAACAAGAATATTGCAGTTATCAATCTGTACTTACGAAAGTTTTGTCGGTCGCATAGATATGTTGTCTCGCCGAAAAGATATTCATGTACATCAATATAATATGGACCAGGTAGGCACAGTACGTTAGTCTTCCCAATGGTATGAACGCTTTCCATGACAATATTGTGTTCACAAAACCTGTCAAAAATGTAAGCAATGTGTATATGTTTAAACATACTGTATCGCTATAAGCAATAACACCTCGAGGTCTTTGTCATCAGATAACAATAGTATACTGAAGAAGGTACATGCAGATGCAAGCAAAGTGCATTTATTTGCGATATCGAATGGTTTGATTTGGTTATATTTTGTTAAACGTCATATTTACTGCTACTCTCATTTAAGGTTTTGCCTCGATCTGTGTAAAGATTGTGTGTAGGTGTGATAGAGGCAGGGTAGGCAAGTATATTTGTCTCCGTGTGATCGCGTGGTTTTGATGCAGACTTTAGAGTGCTACCTCACTAAAACGAATACATATTTTCCTTTGTCACATTTTCACATAATTGTTATATTTACTATTTATATACAATATGAATTCAGATAACTCTTACATTCTGACAAAATGGCATAAATATGTGTATATGACAGTTCCTTAGAAAAACGAACGGTAATTACGATTGATGTTTTATAATTCATGTTTTTTGGCCAAACAAACGCAAGGCGACAAAATTTGTACAATGGAAATATTTACACGGAGACACCAAATGAGGTAAATACCAAGTGTGTCGGAAGGATAAGCGTCAAAGTTTACAGCGATCAGTTATATAAGTAGAAAATATTATTATGTACCTCCATTTCCAGTGGCACATGCAAATATCACCCAGCTTACGCATGCGCCCCACAGGGATCGTGATGTTGCGTTGTATAGGGCGGCTAATCCGACGTCAACCGGGTTACCATTTGCTGACTCATAGATGCCGTAAAGAACCATGCATGCGACAATAGCAGCAACCAACCATATGAAGAGATTGACATACTGAAAATAAAACATTTAAAAACAAATAAAAAATATTTCATTTTCGGTGTTGTAATGAAAACAATTCACTTAAATACTGTGTTGTGTCAAGTACAGTTTCGTAGTTTTTAATATTGTAAGTAATTTAACAAATATAATTGTCTTTTCCTTATATTTACCTTTTTAACTCTAATTCTTTCAGATGAAATATCAATCAATAGGCGATAACAAATTACACGTGTCAATTCACCTAAAAGCACTGCTAGACAGAACAAAATATCTGTCATCAAATAGCCCTGAACGAGCAGTTATTAAACGGAAAGTCCGAATGAAAGGCTCAGTGTCAAACAAAGTCAAACTCAAACACGGAATTTCATTTGCCCCATATCAATGCCATTAATTGTAATTAAAACTATATTTTGACGTCATGACTATAACTTTGATAATTTTTTCTTTAAAGAAAAATCGTACCTTGTGGGACTTTAATGCAAATATGATAAAAACTGATACACAAAATATAATCAACAATAGTGTTCAGGGCGAATAATGCAGTGGGTCAGGACTGGCATTAGAACCTTGAACTTCAATTGTTGTACTATCGCTCTAACCGACTGAGTTATTAAGTCAACGGACGTGTCCTGGCCCAACTGTACAACAGTTATATCCAAAATGAAATCAAGGAGAGCTTATCATGAATACGAACCACCACAGTGTAGGTGGACAGAGTTCTTTCAAAACACATATCCCTGTTATTTATTTTTTAACTTAATAGACAACATGTATATCCAGACATAATACATATTTGTTTACAGAGAAATTTCGTAGTATTGTTACTTTTTTCAACCGTAGTGCATTTGTTTTTCATTACAGCGACTGAAAATAATATACACAGCAATCAAATGGAAAAGTCGAAAAAAAACAACTGGGCAAATATGGATTTTATCGGCAGTGGGCAAACGTTGTACTGGAGGGGAGGGGGCGGGGGAGATTCTTTGTATACAGTATGCATAGAGACCAAATCATATCTTCAAACAAACCTTATTGATTTTTATTTTTAGCCCCTTTTCGTAGAGTACGTATCCAGCGAGCATCCCGACGATGTAGGGCCCCATTCGGCAATAGGGTTTGATGTAATATAGCATCATATAATCGGTAGTGTCAGTTCTGCATAAAGACGTTTGGTGAGTAAAGGTTAATTAAGACAAAATGATGAATGAACTACAATCGTATAATGCTTTACACAAATATATATCATTATTTTTTGTTTTTTATCATAATTGTTTCTGATTCTTTCCTGTTATAACATATATAGGTGAGACAATATGGTATGGATTGTAAAACATTATTGAAAGTCATTAACGTTTTCCTTATACTTCTAAATTAAGAATTATTCTGTAAAAGTAGAAATGTTCGCGGTGTTGAAATGTATGCGGCTTTCGCGTTGAGAAAAATAGGGCGAGGATATCAACATGCATATATATTTCTCAGAGCTATTGCCAGCGCGAACATTTCCACACCACGATCAATTTAAAGAGTCACAGCGCGAAAATGTCCACACCGCGGTCAATTTAAAGAGTCACCGCGCGAAAATGTCCACACTGCGATCAATTTAAAGAGTCGAAGCGCGAAAATGTCCACACTTTGATCAATTTAAAGGACACTTACGCCAAAATGTCCACACCGCGATCAATTTAAAGGATACTAACGCGAAAATGTTCACTTTTACAGTACGTTGCTTAACTTTTAAGAAGAGAACGATATTTTTTGGTTTGATATCTTATAATAGAAACTTTACTAATTATTTGTGAGATCAGCGTTCAATCTAAAGTTCATAAAAAAGGAATATCTTTCTGATCATATTTCTTTTATACGACTATGGTCTCCGAGGAAAAAAATGTCAATGTACTAAATGATAAATTTCAAAATTTCACATCACATAAATATTTGTTTTCCAATTAGAAACGTAAATTTCACCTTAAAATAGAAAGAATGAAAGAAAGAAAAAGAAAACCTGTTTTGTTACTTCATATATCATTGACTCCGGCGACATTTGTATTTACGAGATTGACAGTACTTACGTGGAGATAAACGTGATCGGGAGGTTATTTGTAGCAGAGATAATCACAGTTGTAACTGTCACTCCCAGCAAGAAAACAGCGCACACAAGCACACCTATTTTCTTAAAGCTATATAATTGAAATATAGAGATTTAGCAATATATGGATATGATTGTCATCTAAACGCTCTTCATTGCTTATGCATTCATAAAATACGAATAAGATATTTTTTCCCGATAATATTTTTTAATTCCAAACGTACATGTTGACGTTAATGGCATGCTAATAATAAGTATATTACATTTAAATCATGATCATATTTAGATATTTAAGAAAGTTTTGTATATTACTTTATATGTACTTGCAGAACTATTCACAGAAAAATATCTGAAACTAACAAAAAAAATTATTTATATTTTACAACTTTGTTGAAGTTTATGTGTTGAAAAAAATATGTATTTTAGCGGTACCCAAATGGATGACTGATGTTATATGCGATTTGTTTGAGATTTGTTTTCAATATACTTAAATGCCATAGCTAATAAGGTATTTGTACAGTAATAACGTTGTCTGTTCAATTTGATAATGTATATAATCCTTTCTATCTATGTTACATCTGTTCTTATGTTAACTGATACCTACAAGTATAACGGCACCAACATGAGTGGACTCAGTATGTAGAATTGCATATCATTGGCAAGGTACCATGCCACCCCAAAGCACTGAAACAATAGCATTAAGTCATTTTTGATTTGTTTACTCATTTAATTTTTTGATTAAAAGTTAATCTGAAGATATAAGAATGGTAATTAAAATGATAAACTTCTATCAACATTGTCTTTATTTCTTATTCAATGTTAGCAATTTCGTCTCAATGGTCGCCATTGCAAATGGGACCCCTATGTTTATCAGTAGGTGCGCGTTTTATTTTTCTGTTATCAATAATTTCATACTTAGCGTAAATGATAACATAAATTTGTTTCAAATCTATGTTTGAATTAAGATTTCTTGGATATATATAAAATGAAGAAAACAACCTTATACATTATGTAGCTTATATTTTCGAATAATTTATAACTTACCATTTTGTCTGCATGCACAAAATTGTTAATATACAAAAGGTTTGTCCACCATGTCGTTGCACATGACTCGATTTCCAATCCATCCTTTGGCCATTCGGGACCGTCACCAAGATAGCGGAACAAAGTCGCACTAATCATCAACACCAGCATGTAGGGAGGCGTGAGTCTACAAACAACGGCATATATGGAAGAGTTAGTCTATGAACATCAGCATATAGGGAGGAATTAGTCTACAAACAACAGCATATAGTGAGCAGTTAGTCGACAAACAACGTCATATAGGGAGGAGTTAGTCTACAAACAACAGCATATAGGGAGGAGTTAGTCTACAAACAACGGCATACATGGAGCAGTTAGTCTATGAACATCAGCATATATGGAGGAGTAAGTCTACAAACAACAGCATATAGTGAGAAGTTAGTCTACAAACAACGGCATATAGGGAGGAGTTAGTCTATGAACATCAGCATATAGGGAGGAGTTAGTCTATGAACAACAGCATATAGGGAGGAGTTAGTCTACAAACAACAGCATATGGGGAGGAGTAAGTCTACAAACAACGGCATACATGGAGGAGTTAGTCTACAAACAACGGCATATATGGAGGAGTTAGTCTATGAACATCATCATATCGGGTGGAGTTAGTTTACAAACAACGGCATATAGTGATAAGTTAGTCTACAAATAACGGCATACATGGAGGAGTCAGTCTACAAACAACAGCATATAGGGAGGAGTTAGTCTACAAACAACGGCATACATGGAGCAGTTAGTCTATGAACATCAGCATATATGGAGGAGTAAGTCTACAAACAACAGCATATAGTGAGAAGTTAGTCTACAAACAACGGCATATAGGGAGGAGTTAGTCTATGAACATCAGCATATAGGGAGGAGTTAGTCTATGAACAACAGCATATAGGGAGGAGTAAGTCTACAAACAACGGCATACATGGAGGAGTTAGTCTACAAACAACAGCATATATGGAGGAGTAAGTCTACAAACAACGGCATATAGGGAGGAGTCAGTCTACAAACAACGGCATTTATGGAGGAGTAAGTCTACAAACAACAGCATATAGTGATAAGTTAGTCTACAAACAACGGCATATAGTGAGAAGTTAGTCTACAAACAACGGCATAAAGGGAAAAAATTGTCTACAAACAACAGCATATAGGGAGGAGTTAGTCTACAAACAACGGCATACAGTGAGGAGTTAGTCTATGAACATCATCATATCGGATGGAGTTAGTCTACAAACAACGGCATATAGGGAGGAGTCAGTCTACAAACAACGGCATATAGGGAGGAATTAGTCTACAAACAACAGCATATAGGGAGAAGTTAGTCTACAAACAACGGCATACAGTGCGCAGTTAGTCTATGAACATCATCATATCGGGTGGAGTTAGTCTACAAACAACGGCATATAGGGAGGAGTCAGTCTACAAACAACGGCATATAGGGAGGTTTGATATTTTTTCAAAATATGAGACCACAGGGTAGATTGCCTCATATACTATTTTTGCACCATGCCAGCCTATATATAACAGCATATATGGAAAGATTTAGTCTTTGAACATCAGCCCATACGGAGGAATGAGTCTAGATCTATGAACAAAAAACTTATACTGAGGAGTAAGCCTATGAACATCAGCATACAAAAGGGGGAGGTCTATTAACATCAGCAAATAGGGAGGTGTTTGTCTACAAATATCAGCATATAAGGAGGAGTTAATCAATGCTCATATGCATATAGGGATGAGATGGTATGTTAATATAAACATATAGGGAGCAGTTAGTATACAGTTGGTATATTACATCTTAAATGTAGATTGCTTAATATACCAATTTGTGTCATGACTCTCTTCATGTTCATGTTTCATTTTTTCATAGTTCTAGTATTTATTTTACACAAGGTGGTTGACTGTTTTTTCGGAATAATTTAGGTACTAATCATGACATAGAGGATATTAAATGGTGTCTTCAGTAATAACAAATATATTTCACGAGTGTGGCTAATATTTTGATATTTTTCATGAGTAGTGCGCAGCACGAGTGAAAAAATATCAAAACATTAGCCACACGAGTGAAATATATTTGTTATTACTGAAGAAACCATTGAATTTTCTATTTAGATTTTAAAGCATAAAACATGAAAAATGTAATGTATTAAAAAAGGGCGGGAATCAGAAGCGTAAATATTAGCGCCTATTATAATGACGTCACGCTTGACAACAAGGCTGCGCGCCATTTTGAATGGGATTCTCAACGCAATTTCGACGTTTTCTGCTATTTTCTGGAATGATTGCTTATAAAGATGTCCATACTGGTATATATATGTAAATACTTAAACGTTTGTGTACCAAACATTTACCATAACAACCACTTATTTTACCGTCGCTTCATTTGAATCTGAACAAAATATCGTTGCCTTTGAATGCAGCAAATAGAAGATACCGTTATGATTGGTCAATACTTGAAAATGATATTTTCACACTGTGAAAATATCACTTCTGATATTTATCACAGTTTGAAATATATCAGTTTTATCAAGTTGATAGAATCCGATATTTCCGGTAAATATTACTATCGCTAATATGGTTTAAGGTGGCATACCTCCAAAATCGATGAAAGTAGAACATAAACCAGTTAATTCGTCCCTTTGCCTTCTTCATCTCCTTAAGAAATACATACGCCACAAGCAATCCGCTATAAAAAAACCACAACCAAAAACGTCATTAAATGCAGTTTATAAGCTTGTTAATCAACGATACTCCAGTAGTTATGCTCACTCACGCTCTCTGCCCTCCTGGAGTATGTCATGACAAAATAGAAGGCACCCAGCTAGGTTTATGATTTGTTTCAGGTGAAAAATAGCCTTGCAAAGCGCTCGATTGATACCTGACATTAGAAGAGAACAGAAGAGCGACACATAACTTCAATACCGGTACAATTTACCGTTACGCTCCCGCGGGGGATGCTTTTTATGTACAGCAAGGTATCGAACTAGTCTTCTTTTATCATCCACAATGTGGCGCACACTAATCCCCCGGTTTTTGTTATTACGTATTTTAGGGGTGCAGAAAGTGTAAGTGAGCGTACTTCTTGAGTATAGAGGTTGCAAAATGTGGTACCAATATTTAATTCTATAGACTTAATGATTGAACATGTGTAAGTAAAATCAAAGATTATTTAATGTATGTAACGATATAAAATGTATACCAAAACCTATCAGAAGGTAGAAACACAATCGTTCATCATATATTGCAGTAAACATGTACGACAACACCGCTTTAGATGCTGTACTCTTTTGTAGGTTATATAATATATCTGAAAAAAAGTCTTTCATGCAGGTTTTGCTAAAATGAATTAAAATCAATATATGCTTAACATAAGAGCCTACTCTCGTTGCCAGATCCCTCATATTACATTATGTAAAATTATATATTATGTACAGCATATTTGTTAATAAAATATTGTTAAAAGATATTTTTTTATAAAATAGATATTGGCGAAAGATTCAACATCTTTAACATCTTTCTTTCTAGTGAATAAATGCGAAGATGAATCTCTCGCGAAAAAAGAGTAAATTGCAGTAATGTTTATTTCGTTATGCATTTAATACGATATACAAAAAGTCACCTGATTTACCAACAATGCGTGTAATTTAACCCCCTTGCTACAGATAACACAATTCATATGTACCTACCTCATTGTGAAGAATGTGTCGACAGACAGGACTCCATTTATTATCACCATAAATGTCCAACGAGAGGGAATATCGGAGAAGAACGGAATTATATTTACTGTAAAAAGTATGAATAATGATAATGTTAAATCGTATTTTTTTTTCGTATTTCAGTGAATCTTTGAAATTTTCAATAATAAGTCCAACTCTTTGAAATGTAATTTTCGATCGTTCATCAGCTAAGTTGTAGTATGCTTAATATCATCATATATATATATATATATGTGACTTACGGACGTATTCGAACGAAAATGAATAGGTGTGCCCCAAGATAACCCAGGTCATGCTCAGAAACCGGATACCGTTGACGGCGCCAAGGGCTCCTCCTTGATCTGTATTGAGCAGCTTCTTCCCATTTGTCCACACGGAGAATGACAGAAATAGTTTAACCAGAAGTCCTAAGCATAAAACAGAACAACATTGAAAATATAATTTGTGAAAATTCTTTTCATAAAATGAATAGAAGGTGAATTCGAGTAAGGCATAACCAATAGCATTTCTACAGTTAAGTTATTCGAGCCAAAAACGTTCATATTGTCATATTTTTGTAGATGTTAGGGTATGTATCCAAACGACCAATTATTTTTTTATATTTCAATTATTTTGTTTGAAATGTGTAATTCAAATTTGACCAATAATCATTATGGTTATTATACAAACTAAACTACGATGTAAACTGTTTTTTAGTATTGATAGCATATGCATTTATTGACAAGAACTGTCTTAGTAGATAATTTGCCAAGTTCAAACATGTTGATTTCAGTTTGAAAGCATCACAAAACATCACACGATTACCAATTAATTGGTGCTATGAACATGCTGATATCATCTTTATTGGACTTATAATGTACTATATTTACATTTGCATGGCATTGTCAATATATAGCCTCTTTGAAAGCTGTGTCGTTGATGGGACTTTAATTACCATGCATCACGAGACACAATTCTTAGCGTATTAATACAACACTGACCGGAACTACAATATCCAATATAAATAAACATGACGGCTGCTGAAATATCGCTGGGCATTGTGAGATTTGACAATGTTATTGTAAATTTATGCGCATCCGAGGTTCCTCAGTTTCAGACGACATGTCAAATAACGACGCTGTTATAGAATCTACCGACTGTTGTCAGGTTTCCATACAATCAACAAATAAATTCTCGCCTGGATTCTTCACAAAATGAGTAAAGAGAATTAACTTCCAAAAATAATTCCCTCGTGGAGGGCAAGGTCGGATTTACGGTGTTCACTGTATTTGTCCATGAAATCGAAACAATTTCAAATCTAACTTTCAGCTCTGAGTTCTATTGATAAACTTAAATCACCCTATAGACATATCATACGCAATTGTATTGATACTAAATTGTGGAATAAAATTGAAGTGTTTGTTAAAATTTCAAACTTTACTTTACAAATACTTTGTTTGCCAATCAGCAAACGACAATACGCTGTTCAAACTATCGAACGAAATTGTGTGGACTGTGGATAAGGCGGGCATTTTTGATTTTGAATATAAATTATAAGTTAAAAAAGAACACAAGAGGCAGAGAAAACGTTAATATAAGTATTGAACTGTTTTTGTGTGGTGTTTATAGCGCGCATTATGATTTGTTTGCTTGCAAAGCTGTGTCATTCAAATAGATCATAAATACCATACAAAAACAGTTCAATGCTTAATTACTGACCATCGTATGGCATTGCCACTATAGAACCCTACCAAACTCAGTTGACATTCATATAGGCTATGAATGCCATGGAACGATCGTTGACTTCATCATTATTATGACGTCATTATTGTCATGTTGGATACCACTGACCCTCCTTGAGTGATTACTGTTCTATTCGTTGCAAAAGCTTAGACGGATTATAATTTTAACTGATTTTTTATGAGATTAACAGAATCCAAAATGGTAAATATTGGTATTTAACTCCTTACAGTTGACATTCATAGGCAATATGAATTCCAACTGGTCAAAGGCAAAGACAACAAAAAGCGCAAGCGAGCTTTATTGAATTTGCTTTTCTCCAGTTGTCATTCTTATTGCCTATGATTGCCAATTGGAAGCAGTTCAGTGCTTGAATGAGGCAAAGATATAAAGAAAGATAAAAGTCAAAAAACTCACCATCGCTGCATTCTCTTTGTTTTTGTTTTGGCGGGATTTCTGATTCTTCAGTAGGGGCAGTCGGGTAGATCTTCGGGATATCGTGCTCTGCTGCAGGAACCTTAACATCTTCGGAGTTGATTTTATAAATGATAGACGGAAATTCAACCGATACACCCTTCTCAAACGTGGCAGGTATTGGCGCGTGCACCTCGTGGATTGTCTTGGGTTTCTTTTCGTCTTTGTCTGATGTGTCTAATGTTGTTGTTTTCGTTGTGCATGGTCCCCGGAGTAAATCAAAAGCTGTCGATGTTATCATTAGAGCCACGAATAGACCACATATACTCCTACAAATTAAAACGGCTGATTACAACAAAAGTCACTTATACTGAGGTTATATTGATGTTGTTGTTTACATTATTATTGTTGTTAGGGCAAAAAGCTATGAAAATATATATTCGTGTTTCGCTTTAGGAATGAAAGCAAGTTGTACAAATGAGATGAATCGTACGGACGCGGTAAACTATTAAACAAAAGAAATAAAAAAAGTCGAACGAACGAGGTAAACGGTTGTAGAAAAGAAATAAAAGAAGTCGAACGAACGAGGAAAGGTGTTGTACAAATGAAACAAAATGTCGTACGAACGAGTTAATAGAACGTACAAATGAGATCAAAAGTTGTAAGAATGAGTTAAAACATCATAAAAACGATATAAACAAAATCGTAAGAACCAGATAAAAAGACCGTTCAAACGATATAACAAGTCGTATAAAGGAGTTTAAAGTCGTGCAAAGAAAATTAAATCATTTTTTGATGTTCATTTCCTAAAGTTTAGCCAAATAATCTTATGGTTGATCTGTTGTGTATGATGTAATGTAATAACAAGAACATGTTTCTGATTAAAACCAGCTGATTCCTCGGTAAAAACCGTGTAAACGATACAATGACGTACCGATAAGTCAGGTGATGACCATACCGCGTCTAAACCGTGTAAATACATGTAGATACAATGACGAACCGATAAGTCAGGTGATGACCGTACCGCGTCTAAACCGTGTAAATACATGTAGAAACAATGACGTAACGATGAATCAAGTTATAACCATACCGCGTCTTAACCGTGTAAATACATGTAGATACAATGACGTAACGACGAATCATGTGATGACCATACCGCGTCTTAACCGTGTAAAAAGACACAATGACGTAACGACGAAACATGTGATGACCATACCGCGTCTTAACCGTGTAAAAAGACACAATGACGTAACGACGAAACATGTGATGACCATACCGCGTCTAAACCGTGTTAAAAGACACAATGACGTAACGACGAAGCATGTGATGACCATACCGCGTCTTAACCGTGTTAAAAATACAATTACGTAACGATTAATCATGTGATGACCATACGGCGTTTAAACCATGTAAAGACGTAACGAAGGGTCATGCGATGACCATATCGCGTTTAAACCTTTTTCAAAACACAAACACTATTAGTTGAAATACAATGAGAAGGATATACAGGCGTTGCAATACAGGGAACATTGCATTGTAGGAGGTAAGGGGAATGGAGAGGTGACATTATCGGGGAGGGGATATTATCAGAACTTTTTTTTAAAGACTGTTATTTGAATCAAACTTTAAAATGAGAAACAAGTAAATCATGTTGTAATGCAAGGGACGGGGGTTGTTTTACATGGGAAGGGCCGTTCATTACATCAGTCTGATAAACACTCTTTAGAACTTTGGATTATGATAACAATTAGGAGGGTTATACGGTGGTACATTTAGGACATGCATGATTATTATCTACATTATTTATCTCAAACGCTCGATTAAATAAATAAAATAAAATTGATATTTAAATTATGATTTCGAGCGCTCAACTAAGACTTTACATATGAATTGTTTCCTAAAAGTTTTGTTATGTAATTGCGTTAGATAAAGTCGAATAATGGAGAATTTATGTCGAGTGCTCGAGATAAGAAGTCGAGAGATCGACATAATATGTAGAGCGCTCGAGATAATAAATGAATGAAATAATATTATCTAAACGTGCAGACGCGGAATTAGCATAAAATGGAGAGGAGAAGAAGACGACTGTTTATACAATAAATAAGAGTTGCTCAGTGATCACTACCGCTCTTAATGAACCAGCTACTTAACATCAGAGGAACTTACAATGCTACAATAGCTTTCATGTCAAACTTTGTTTCTGTAGGACGACGGCAGACAGCTTTGGAGGCATATGTCGACGAGCCTTCCGCTGGTATTGTCGACAACACTTTTGAGGAATAGACATAAAGAAAACTATAAGTTATGCATCATCTGAAATAATGTGAAAAAAATCAATCTATAAAATATTACATAGAATAATGTACATATAATTTTGCGATTTTGAAACAACATGGTGTCTTATCATAGTTAAAGATATGAGAGGGAATTACTGTACAACATTTCATTTTTGCTTGTGAATTCGTATTTTTGCGTTATGTCGTTTGTTTGCCAATAAATTACATAGGAAAATATTTTGGCTCTGAAGCTGTCTTAATTCGCGCGCACTCCCGAAACTTACATAGAAAACCATACCGTGTATCAACATATTAACTCTAATATCTATATCATCTAATTCATCAGGTGTAAATGTGTTTGTACGCAACAACTATTTTTGTTGTTATTCCTATAAGCTGTACTGTTTTGGAAAAAAACTTAATTGAATTGAACGTTGAGTAAGAAAATCCGGTTAATTAAGGGGGATAACTTTCAATATTTGTTAGTGTCATTTGATGAAACCTAAGGACGATAACTACTTCTGACTCTGAGCGTCCCAATTCTCGTTTCACCAAATAGCTCGCTCTCGAGACTTGCCGTGCGAGAGTCTTGTCTGATTTTCATTCTAGCTTTGCGATTTCAAATTGAGGCTTAACAAAAAAAATCAGTTTCGCTTTTCTATTGGCTGATAAAGATACAGCTACACAATCTGGTTGCAAATAAGTTTAAAAAGGAAATTAAAAAGTATCAACTGAAAGAGATACAGTTAGCTAAACTGAAAGATATCACTGAGTACAGCAAGACGTCCAAACTGAATTACAGACAATGATAAAGAAAGACCGTAAAGACCGCTCTTAACAATGTTAAGACAGATGGTTTTAATATGCGCTCTAGCCGAATATAGTTGGATTGATTTCATTCCTTAAATATCGTATCAACACATATAAGCCGAAATCTCTCGTCATTTATTCATTTAAAATTTTAAAATCGACAGACTGACAGCAATGTACATATTTGAGTCGTGCTATTTAAATATGACGAAACCGACAGTGACCTTATTGACATTTCATTTCCATAAAAATGTTAAAGTGGTATTGGACGTGATTAAACTCTGAATGACATGAATTGGTTTTATTTAACTACAGTTGAAATCACATACACACATCAAAATTAGACGAGGGAGAAACAAGTACATGCTCGTTTTAATTTGATACGAAATTGCAGCTATTATTCAATATTTTAATACTTTTTATTTTGTTGGCATATTTAATTTTGCGACCTCTCTTTCACTTGTTTTATCAATTAATGCTGAAAAATATATATATAAATACAAAAAGGTAAATTTCCATACAATTTCGGATCTGAAATAGAACGTTTGATAGCCAGAGATTTTCCTCACGAACTTTTAAGGTTTAAGTGGTGACCTAACACGCTCAAAGTTTATTTAATGTATACACATTAAAGATTAGACGATCGTGTCTCCACAATATCATAGATACAGCAAATATTATTTAAATTATACAGGGTCAATATATGTGTACAGATAATAGGTGCTTGGTACGAACTATATTATATAGTTTGACATACAGCAAATTTAAAACCACCATAATGGTAAAAATCACTGTTAAAGATAACATAGAACGTAATAAATATCGAAAGTATTAACAAAACTTACACTTTCACAAATTTACACCAATTAAAAGTGACCGCCATTATATCTAATCATATTTTAAACAATAAAAACACTATGTTGTCTTTTCAATAACATTTCAATAAAATAATTTAATTTTTAATAGGTTTGTTTGTAGAACCTTTTAATTTCAATAATCCAAATGCTATAATTAAGACAATAGACATATTAATAAATATTCTCCATAACAGGTTGAATATAATCAAATTTAACATGTGAAACAATTTGTACAAAAAAAACAATACTATGATTTTGTATCCAAGCTGCATTAACCTTATTAAACGCAGAAATGCTGATTCATTGAAACTGAATTAAACATTGAATAAACATATATTTTGGATAATGCAATAACACCGGATACCGGGAAACGTTCGCCCAGTCGTGTATTCGCAATTTTACCAGTAAAGGCCTTGTTCACCCACCGTTTATTTCGCCCTTCACATGTACTTTCTATAAAGGGTATCTTGTGTACTTATATATGCTTTCATGATAAATCGCTTTCATTACGGAGGGCGGAAAAGGCGAAAGTTAAAATGCGGCGACATTTCCCAGTTAACAGTATTTTAACAATACGAGTAATAATCTAATCTGATAAGGGCCATATAAGTCTCTGATATTTTAAAATGAATTATTTTTTATAAATAGTCATTAGAAATAGGAAATAAATTGGCAAGCGCGTGTTTGGAGAGTAATACAGTGAGCCAAACAAAGTAAATATTTACTGTCAAAAGTTCAAAAGAAATAAATTCCATGTCAAAAGTTCCTTAAATCATATGTAGATAGGCAGGAAAAAACTCGATAGGAGCTCGTTAAAGCTAATACAGCATTGTACATTTACATGTTTTGGATATATAAAATACAAAAGTATTATTTCTACTTAAATTTCAAATAAAATGTAAAAGAACAATTTTCTAATTCTCAAAGGTCATGGACAACATTGCGGATTGACACAGGTTTCAAATATCCCATACCACTTTTTTAATAGATATTGTTTTCAATTTCGGAAACCAAATAACTTCATTGTCAATCCGAATAAGCCAGCAGTGCATGAAAGAAACAAAGAATACTTACGGCCATTGATTAGAAATAACATATCTGCTTCGTTACACGTGCTAGGAACACACAGACCCTGTTTGAGAGCTGCAGGATAACCCTATAAATAATAAAAAGATGGGTTTCGATTTTGAATTTTGAAATTTTGAAAGTGACTGGAAAATCGATATGGTATGATGGTGGCTGGATTATCAACTGAGAATGAAGATGGCAGGATTATTTAAGAAAAATGAAATTGACTGGATCATCCGTAGAGAATGAAGTTGACTGGATTATCTACTGAGAATGAAGATGGTTGGATTATTTAGGAAACATGAAGTCGACTGGATCATTATCTACTGAGAATGAAGATGGTTGGATTATTTAAGAAAATTGAAGTTGACTGGATCATCCGTAGAGAATGAATTTGACTGGATTATCTACTGAGAATGAAGATGGTTGGATTATTTGAGAAAAATGAAATTGACTGGATCATCCGTAGAGAATTAAGTTGACTGGATTATCTACTGAGAATGAAGATGGCTGGATTATCGAATGAAAATAAAGTTGATTGGATTATCTACTGAGAATATATGGTTAGATTATTTAAGAAAAATTAAATTGACTTGATCATCCGTAGAGAATGAAGTTGACTGGATTATCTACTGAGAATGAAGATGTTTGGATTATCTAATGAAAATAAAGTTGATTTGATTATCTACTTGGAATGAAGGTGACTGGGTGCTATATTGGGAACGAATGTGACTTGATTATTTACTGCGAATGACAGTGACTGGATTATCTACAGGGAATGAAGGTGACTGGATTATCTTCTGAGAATGAAGGTAGCTGGATTATCTACTGGGAATGAAGGTAACTGGATTATCTACTGGGAAAAAATGTCACTGGATTATCTACAGGGAATAAAAATGACTTGATTACTTTTGAAAATAAATGTGACTGGATTATCTACTGAGAATGAGAGTCACTGGATAATCTTCTGAGAATGAAGATAACTTGATTAAGCAATGGGAATGAAGGTGACTGGATTATCTTCTCTAAATGAATGTTTATCGAATGAGGGTAGGTGACTTGATCATCTATAGAGAATGAAGTTGACATGTTTAGCTGTAGCGATTGACGGTAACTGGAGTATCAACAAAAACTAAGGTGGCTGGATTACATGCTGAAAATGAAGATGACTGGATTATCTATAGTAAATAAAAGTGACCTGATTACTTCTAGGGCGTTAAGGAGTGTTATGACAATCTGAAGAGAATAAAGGTAACTGGAATATCAGATCGTGTTTGTAATGTGTAAACATATATACCATTATTGAGACGCCGATTTCGATCAGACAATACTGTGTTGAAAATTCAGGTGGGACGATATTTAGACATTCGTCATAAGATCCCGGGAAATAGATGTTTCCTTCCAAGATCCCTTCCCGAAGCTTTCCCATGCTGTCCAACACTGCAATGTACAATATTATGCATCAAATAATAAGTTCATTTTATAGTACCCTATACAACTACAAAAACTTTAAAATGTCAGTTTTTAGCCAAAAACTGATCTTGTTTACTTCACCATACATGGTATTAGGTAGCTAAGCTATGATTGAGCTATACTTATTTCTAAACTTCTTATACATTTTAAGAAATTAGTAAAGCAGATTTCCATGTCATAGTCATTTTTACGGGTAAGTTTTACGGGTAAGACGTTACAACGAATGTTGTCAGTAGATAATTTTCCTAAATACCTGCATTATTGACTCTATCCAAATTTCTAAATAAAGAAAAGTCGTTTTAAAAAGAAATGTATCCTTGTTAATTTTACAACCACGAATGCATCAGCGTCAAATGTACACTGGAGTGAAATTAAGATACTTGACGTCGACATAAAAGTTGTGTTTTCTCGCATACTATTACTAATTGGTCAAATATATTTTATAGTGACATCGTGGTCTTAGCTGTTGATTGATGTGTTTTTGTTATTAACATCATTTGCTTGAATATCAGCTCTAAAACCTTGATTTTATAACGGAAATCGTAAACCAACGAGTTAGCTTACTTTTTTTAATCGAATACTGACGATATCTACCATTCAATACATTTTAAAGGTATCATTTTGATTTTTCAAAGATAGAAATATCATTACTTTACATCTCATATAAATTGTATTTATAATAACAATGAAGCAGTTTTCGGATAAATTTATACATAAAATGAAAAAAATAATAATACGACATTTAAACAAATCAATGTGTATTATGTATCATTGTAACTTACTTTGGATAGCCCACAGCTCACTCTGAGTTAACGACATCGTTGTCAGTCCCAGGTCCTGGACACATTGCGGCGAAACACCCAAAGACGCTAGCATAGCTTCTGGGTTAAAGTTTAGCACGTCTAAATTGGCTGATTCAAGGAATGTCTGAAGATCCTCTGGACCTGTACCGAGAACCTCGGTAAGCATTGCAGGGACATTTGCACCAGCGATAAGCGTCAAGTTTTTTAGAACGCTGTCAAACATTGGTCTAGTCACTTCCGTTAGGCCAGCTGCCATTCCAGTGATGATGCCGTCTACACCAGGTGACGATAATGTAGAATTGCCAACAGTGGAGAGAAACTGCAGAAACTTTAAGGCATTGTACAAAAGATCTAGACTTTCATTATCTACTCCGCGAAATGAGACGTTTCTAGATTGGGCAAAGTCAATGAGTTTGAGAGCAGTGTTGAAATCGACGTTATCCAGTATGTTCGAAGTAGCATTAAAAAGGGCAAAAGCATTTTGTACATAATCAGGGACATTCAAGCCACCAGACGAAATGGATGTGGCAAAATTCATAACCCCTTGTGTGTATATATCCTTAGGAACGTTATTGTTTGTGGCATTAGCCTGTCTAAAGTACTGACCGTTTGTTACTGAAACTGTAATAGTCAGTACTACTAAAGCGAACATCTTGAAACGTGTCATTGTCAGCTCCATGGATTCCGAAAAATCCAAGTGTCTTGATTCTCAATTTAGTCTTGAGGAATAACGCAGCCCAAGGTATTCGGCCTTATATAGCTTCTGTGGACGGTGTCACCTGACGTCATCTATACATCCCGTCAGCATAAAATGAACCTCCAAATATGGTGATCTAGTCATTATACCCCTTAATACTCGCAGATTTTGTCAGCTTGATTCAATCCACGTGCAATATAAATTCTCCATTTGTCCTGTCACTGTCTAACACGTTTCGTTGGATAATGTTGATGTTTTTGATGCAGGCTAATATTGTGTTTTTTTTCTAAATTTTGTTCCTCAAGAAATGCATCTTAAGTAAAATAGATTCACAAGGACCTATAAGCTTACAATGTTGTGGAGAACACCTCAACTTGTGTGTTTTCATTATTGTCATTTAAATTTGCCATACCTGTAATAGAGATTTACACGACATGCGTAAACAGGTAAACGTATGTGCAATGACCTTGTTGTCTGCCTGGGTGCCTTTGTACGTATTTAGATTAACAAGTACTTTATTTGTATGCTTGACATCATTACGAAATATCTTTATTACGAAATACGAAGTGCTCCATAAATGCTACCTTACTGTTGCCCCTCTGTTATTGAACCAGTAATTCGATAGTTGACTGAATTGTATCTTTATATGCGTTTTGTATGTTTAGAGTTAAACGTTCACGTAAGAAATAAAGCAATATGACGAATGGTACTACTTCGAATATGTCATTCTACTGCGGATAGAAAATTCTGAATAAAAATATATTTGGATGAAAAATATTTGATCTGTAATATGTGAATTTTGATATTTATCTGTGATGTCAGAAGATGAAATATAGAAACAATATACAATGACATATCATAAAAATTAAAGAACAGCACCTTGTATATTTCAGAATGACATTGATTGATCTTTTGCATGACTCATATGAGACGTATGGAGCTAAGGTTGGTAAAACAACGCAATGGTTGACCTAAATTAGTCTGAAAAGAAATATATCATTAAAGTACCATTCACTAATAACGTTTGTGGCGACAGGTATTTTACAACCTTCATACGCTTCCCCTTTCTCTTGTTATACTTCAAAATATCATAGCTTAGGTTGCATCTTTAACGTGTCATCTCGATAAACTTGCTGTGTTAATTCGTAATAGCCTGCAATGTGAGCGTGCTGCTATCTTGAGAACCAGACCGTATCAACATCATAATATAAACGTCTGATCTTTAGCTCCATACGTCTCATATGAGTCATGTACAGAATCGATCAATGTCAAGTTGCTGTTCTGTGTTGAACAAGGCCAGTTCAAATATTTGCTTAGAAAGGTACTCCTTGAGTTTTGTATGTTGTATATTGACTGATTTTACTTTGTGAAATATGTTCGAAAGAATCGAATTCATCCAAATATAATGTTGTTAAGTAGAACGCTAGGGATACGCCCTTATTTATGACCTTATTTCAAATATCAGTTTAAAGTAGTATAGCAGAAAGTCTAAAATTGAATACGTTTTGAACATTTTGAAATATTTAAGTTTACATTAATCTTTTGTTAGTCAGAGACTGCTGGAAAAAATCATATTAGTGTACAATGTGCTATAAGCAAAACATAGACAGGGCGACAACTTATTGAAAACATGACACCGAAAACAGCGAAAATATACCAAAACAAAAAGTAAAATACTGACAATACACAAGTTTACAATGTGAAACAGAGCGATAAACGAGAAAATAATTGACTTCAGCGACAAAACACAAGGGCAAAATGTAAAAAAGCGACAAAACACAGGGATTAAATGTAAAACAGCGACAAAAAAATACCTTTATTTTCCCTACTGGGCCCCACCCCTCTGCCCCGAGGGGGGCCACACCCACCCTTTATACCAAATTGAATCCCCGGGACAAGGACAAAATGAAAAAAGCGACAATACGCAAGGAAAAAATAGAAAAAAACGACAATACACAGGGGCAAAATAGAAAAAAAACACAATACACAGGGACAAAATAGAAAAAAACGACATATCACAAGGACAAAATAGAAAAAATCGACAATATACAGCGACAAAATATTAAACAGCGACAATACACAAGGACACAATAGAAAAAAAAAAACAATACACAGGGACAAAATGTTAAACAGCGACAATACACTGGGACAAAATGAAAAAGATGACAATACAAAAGGACAAAATGTAAAAAAGCGACAATACACAAGGACAAAATGTAAAACAGTGACATTACACAGGGACAAAATAGAAAAAACGACAATACACAGGGACAAAATAGAAAAAAGCGACAATACACAAGGACAAAACGTGAAACAGTGACAATACATAAGGACAAAATAGAAAAAACGACATTTCACAGGGATAAAATAGATAAAACGACAATACACAGGGACAAAATAGAAAAAAGTGATGATACACAAGGACAAAACGTAAAAGAGCGACAACGCACACGGACAAAATGTAAAACAAAAAAGACAATACACAGGGACAAAATGTAAAAAAAAAAGACGAATGTGTTTATTTGTATACTTGGCCTCCTATTTAGTAGACACGATCATGTATCATATAACGTACTGTGTTATCCAGTGAATATACCCATGTCATAATTTTCGCGTATTAACCCGTGATATATAACCTATCATCCCTGTGTTTGGTTGTCAGTTTCAATTGTTTCAATTGTGACGTCACACCTAAGACAAGTACATAACGTCACAGACTTCAGCACTGGAGTCAAAATGGCCGCTTTTTACAATTTAATCTTGCATGAAAAATGTCGTTTTACACAAATAAATGCCACAAATCATTTTTTGTGATAAAAAGAATCTTACACTCATTTCCATTTCATATGAAATGTATAACACTCGTCACGAATTCTTCATTTTAGCTCGCCAGAACTAACACACTTTTTATCAGAAGTCTATTGAGTTCTTACGTTGCCTTATATAGACATAGACATCCTGTTTATATATAGCAGAGGCTATTACAATTACTGTATAACTGTATAACACTCGTCAAGAATTCTTCATTTTAGCTCCCCAGAGGCTCGCTAAATTGAAAAATTCTTGTTTCATAAATCTCATATGAAATGGAAACTCATGTAAGATCCTATATATATTACGCAACACTGAAACCTAACGAGCAGACTACATAAAAGTATACATAAACTATATACAGATTGCTTAAACACTAAAAAAAACACACTATCAAACATAGACAACAATAAAATGATATACATTGGATAGCCGCCTAAAAAATGTTCATTACTCGTGAAAACGTTTTGATTTATTGTTTTTCCAATGAAATCAAAAGTTTAACTTTAAGCGAGCTTTCAAAAGTGTCTGTTTCCTTTACCAATCGAGGAGTGCAGACAGAAATTAAAACTTATTTTTTCGAGCTTTCAAAGTACATTTAGTCTGTTTCTTTTGTCAAGCTAGAGGTGCAGCGAAAGCTCGCAAAATAAGTTTTAAATTACTGATTGTGTTTAAAACTACAGTAATAAGGCATTTATTATTCCTATTCATACCAAACTGATAACTCTCATTCCGAATATTTAAGAAATATGTCTAAGAATCCATTAAGTGTTTGCTAATTTTCTATCTTTAACATAGGAAAACATTTATTCTTGATTCATTAAACAGAACTGTTCGTCGTTCACTTACTTTAATTTATTACCCACCTATTTAATTTAAAGGTACTTGTTAAAATAAACACCAAAGGTGTGTTAAAGGTGCAAACCGTCACAAGTACATTCGAGCTAGGTGTTTCATCTGTATTTCGTAATACGGACATATTATTTAAATAAGCAGACGGGAAGGGTCACAGTTTGTTAAATAGGACGAACTAACACACATTTTATCAAAGTCTATTCAGTTCTTACATTGCCTTATATAGACATAAACATCCTGTTTATATATATCAGAGACTATTAGAATTACGAGTGGTAATATTGAACCGAGTCCACTTGGGTGGTCCTAACACAGGTGTGAATTACCCTTATCTACTTTTGAATGTTGCCTCGCCTCATTGTATCTCTCAACCGCGGCTGTTGAGCCCCGCAGTCAGCCAGTCAGAGATTGTAAGGAAAAAGTAAATCAAAATATTGACTTGTAAATCTAATTACCTGTTAAGCGCCGTTGTCAGCCAATGGAAGTTTACAAGCCAGCAGTCAACACAATCGACTAAAACTCTGACATAGATAATTTTAAGAAGACTCCTATGCTATTTTTATCATTTTTCGTCATGACTTTTTATCTTGATTTGTGACTTTTTCTCTTGTTCATATATCTATTTCGATTGTAAAAAAATTACCTCGTGCGTATGACTTTCAATTCGTTTGAATTCCAAAATTGGCATGAATAAGCTTCCGTAGTATAATCATATTATTTGATACTTGTTTATATCTTCTGCTTACTGTAGCCGCATAGTCAGGTCTCTGTTATCCATCTCAAACGGATGGACTGAATGAAATGGTGTATGTAAAATAGTCTGATAAAGTATAAGTATAAACTTCATTTTATAATAATACAAAATAAGATTTAAGACATCATACACTTTGTTTTGGTATCACTAGTTCATTTGATGGTATCACGATTTCGTATTTCATTATTTAAAAAATCTACATAATAATGTCAAGAAAAATAGTCTATATGTTAATGAAACTTATTATATTATGAATATATTAAGTTTGATGAATAGATAGTTAAACGGCCGTAAAAGTAAACAATAAGCGATATCTCTGCTAATCCGTACATATATGGAACGCTGTTTGGTTCTTTTATATTTACTATGTGTCATCTATTAGAATAGTGTGTGATGTCATTGGTCAAAAACGTATTAACTTGGGTTTTTTTAATTTGAAGTTATTTTTGTAATATGACGTGAAACCGTCGTTACAGTAATTAAGCACAACGCGGTCAGCACGTGCTTCGTTCACCAGTTCATGTCCATATACGGTACACTATTTTTGCTCTTGACGTAATTAATTGCAATTATGTTTGCTCGGTGTCTGCTTTTTGCTCACACTGTTTTGAAATAACCTGTATGCGTGAAGTGAATTTGCATAATTAAGGATCCTCGTACCACAACATTTTTT